AACTGTGGAAACTGCGCAAAAATCGGTGCTTTCCCAATATCTGCCCCGGGATGACGTCACAGGACAGTCCAATATTTTCCAGGGTGGTAAAAGTGGGTTTCCCGACTTACTGATGCTTTTAACGATCCCAAAACATCTAGAACTGGGCCTAACCCCAACCCACCTACGTCCCACGAGAGATTGCAGCCTAAGTCCCACGACTGCATGCAGCCTAGGTCCCACGACTGCATGCAGCCTAAGTCCCACGACTGCATGCAGCCTAGGTCCCACGTCTGCATGCAGCCTAGGTCTAACGACTGCATGCAGCCTAGGTCCCACGACTGCATGCAGCCTAGGTCCCACGACTGCATGCAGCCTATCTACCACCCCCAAAAATATTCGACTGTCTGTTTGTGGGGGGGGGGGGACATATTGGGATAGAACCCAAATATTTGTAAAGTGTTACAACAGGAAAGGCCTTCAGTTTTTGATGCTAAAATTAAATACTTAAATACGTTAGTTGCGTGTCCTTAAGGGACGTTACATAACAACTCCCAATATTTGTTGGCTGTTGTGACCAGAACAACTTGGAACGATAACACCAGAGCAACTCTACAACAGCCCAACGTGTCATTGACTGGGGTAGCCCCACAAAAAAGCAGAACCTGAAGAAGAAAAAAGGAAGAAGAAGAGAAAACGAAGAAAGTTTGACTTTGCTTTTGATACCGATGTCGAAACCAACGCAAAAGAGTCTGCTGTCAAATTGCCCGCAGCTGGGATCGAATCTGGCCACGCAGAGTTACGAAGCGGGTTTGCAACCCCTAAGCCACAGATGCCGAAACAATAAAATAAGACCGGCTATTTGTTGGGGTTTAAAAACCCTGCTACCGGGATCAGTTGAAGGCAAACGAGTAAAGGCCAATGCCGATACAAGTGGGGGGATAACATTACGAGGTGGGCGAAAGCAGTGTGAGAGAGTATACTTCCTTCTTCTTCCCTTTTTTTCTTCTTTTTTTCTATTCTTCTTCTTGACCGGCTTTAAACTCAGACCGAACGTTCTGGTTGTTCGTCCATTAGTGAACTATGGTCTTGTTCTAGACCCTGAGTTTCGCGTGCACATCCGTTTTACAGATCTTACGTGTTTTATATACACAATGTTTGTTTCTCTCCACTCATGCAGATGCAGTCCGAAGTTGAAAAAAAAAAACCCAATTAGTTGCCACTTACGACATTCTTGCTGAGGTGCAGAGGATCTATTCTTTTTCCTTCCTAAATTGGAACATGGAACCCACACGGGGAAAGTACACATCTAGAAAGTTAGAGCCTGTGAATATCAATTACAGCCAACTTTTATTGAGGCGACGGCACATAACGTTGAGGTAAACTATGACAATCTGTCAGTGGTTTAAAAGAAATGAAAGAAAGGAAAAATTCTCGTGTGCCAAAATTTATAAAAAGTACAGCACATCGTGTAATTAAAGTATAATATACTCTTTGACATCCAACAAATCGCTTACCAACACAGCCCACTAAGGTATTGTTCGGCCTACATAAATGAAATTACGACCCCTTTGGTTTACCGTATTTCAATACTGTCAACTGTTGGAATGTCCTTATCGTGGCCTCTGTTTACACAACAATCAGGACATTGCAGTCGGGACAAGGAGGCGTGGTTTTCCCACGATTCACAGACCGCCACTTAATCCCTCTTAGGACTCCCATACAATGAAGGATTTACACTGCTCGTGTAGCTTTCATCCGTTGCGGTTACAGCGTTGTCGATTTCAGTTTAGTATAGTGTAGTGTAGTTAGTTAGTTAGTTAGTTAGTTAGTTAGTTAGTTAGCAAGCTAGCTAGCTAGCTAGTTAGTTAGTTAGTTAGTTAGTTAGTTAGCTAGTTAGTTAGTTAGTTAGTTAGTTAGTTAGTTAGTTAGTTAGTTAGTTAGTTAGTTAGTTAGTTAGTTAGTTAGTTAGTTAGTTAGTTAGTTAGTTAGTTAGTTAGTTAGTTAGTTAGTTAGTTAGTTAGTTAGTTAGTTATGTCTCTGCTCTTCTTAGCTTTCACCGGCTGTAAACTCCAGGGAAAGTTCTGATTGTTCGTCCACTGCTGGAATGTGGTCTTATCCCAGGGTTGGATTCGTGCGTGCAAACCTGTTAAACAGAGCCGGCTTATTTAAATGGAGACTAATGGTTCCTTACCACTCAGGCAGATGCACTCTGACTTAAAAGAAAATGCCCCTAAAAGCTATCTCTCACAACATGCTTGTTGGGGTAAAAGAGTCCCACAGTGGGTCCTGGAACCCACACGGGTAGTCAGTTCATAGCAACCAGCGCATGATGCTAGACACATATTTCTTAAAACCAGTCGGTATTTGGTGGGTGATGGGTCAACCTCACAACAACCGCATTTACTTTACTTTACGACATTACCTGGTACCCATTTTAGAGTGGATCCCCTCTGTTGTTCGTCCATCACCAGTGATGAAGACGACTTTCATCCAAAGTAGTAATGATCAATGATTATGAGTACGAAGGTGACTGGTTAGTCTAATATGAGCCTGGAAAGTATATCAGTGTTTATCTCCTACTTAACCCAGGGTGTTCTGAGAATCTTTCTAAAGCATGCCGTATGGGATTGTATATCCCCGTCATGGTTAGCTAGTGGAAGGGTTGCTACTTAAAGCTTCACCGTACCATCCTATAGGTTAGTTGCGTATCCTTTATATGACGGTGCAGAACCAACCCCAGCAGCCCCTGGCTGTTGTGTGGTTTTTCTAGGCAAATTTACGTCCAGTAGTTTGCCATTGCTCCTGGAAGGTCGGCTTTCTTGATACTACTGTCGAAACCAACGCAAGGCGCATGGCCCGGAGTTGGGATCGAACCCGGCCTCCCGGCATTACGAAGTTCGCATCTACTTAGCCAAAGAGCCGACATACCATCCTAAGTAAGAGTTTAAATTCTTAGTCTGTGCGATGGAACAACAATGTAGATTTCAGATACCCCATTCCAGGGGCAAGTAAGTTATAATTATGGCAGCCGTCATGGCTAAACGAGCCAGGTGTCAATTGCAGCCGTGTGTCGGTAAAGACACGAACCATGGCGCCAGTTCGGTGTTGGTGTATTTAAGGTTCGGGGCTGTCCCTGGTGGAGAGGACAGCCCGTTTGTCTCGCGCTCTGAAGGTCATGGGTTTGTTTTAGGGACGCGTCGTTTGGTTCAAGAGTGCAATTATTATACGAAGATCCCCTGGCATCCTCGCTGGAACTACGGTGTTTGTGCTTTGTGCGATGCTCTTTCGGAATGTCATTCTGCCAAAAAAGAGAGACCGAGCTAATATGATAACCTTGTGCAGTTAAGTGGATTCTCTCGACTTTGACGTCTGGTAATGGTACGAGAGTTGCACCGAGGAAGAGGTTGAGGCATGGCCGCGTAATATTGCTAAACGTAGCAGTGAAGGCATTGTAGCCAACCGTCACTCTGAAGACGACACATAACCGTTCTCTCTCACTTCTAAGGAAAACAAATATACATCCACTGTAAGGCACGTACCCCGTGTGAGTTCCATGTGGGATCCACTGTGGGGGAGGGGGGTTGGGGGGGAGAGAACAGACCTACTGCATCCTAACAAGCATGTGGAAAGTCGGAGAACATCTGCCTGACAGGCGTGGAACCAACAGTCTGCATACTTAGACGCCAGATCTGTAAAACGGATGCGAACGCACAACTCAGGGTCTGGAACAAGACTAAAATCTAGAAGTGGATGAACAACCAAAACTTTGAGCTGGAATTTACGTTGTGATCCCCCTCCCCCACATATAACGGGTTGCGAGAGGGAAAACAAGAATAGACCCATTGTCTTCCTAACAAGCATGTCTTAGGAGTCAACTAACTATGGGATTTCTTTAAAGTCGAAGTGCATTTGCTCGAGGGGTAAGGAATCAAAAGCCTGCATTCACTTAGACCAGATCTGTAAAACGGGTGCACACGCAAGACTCGGGTCATTGAAAAAAGGCAAAGTCCACAAATGGACAAACAACCAAGACCATCCTTCGGGGTTTACAGACGGTAAACGCAAAACAGACTGACTATTATCGTCAAGAAAACAAAATGTACAAGGCACTTTCCGAGCCTTCAGGAGTATTGGGTATATAAGGCTAGTCCGATATTTTATAGACTGATCGGCGGGTGATATGGTCAACATCACGCCGGCCGCCTTTACTTCCCATGACTGTACCTGGTAGCCATTCAAGGCTGGGTCGACCTCGAAACCAAGGTCTTATTTTTTTTGAAAATGATAGAACCCGAACACACTACTTCAGATCCGCAGGCAAGCTTCTAGTCGCTACACCACGGGAGCTTTCCATCTTTAAGAAGAAGAAAGAAGAAAAAGACAAGACACTTTCACTGCCGCTCCGGCAACAAGTGGCAACGAACATCCATTCCCTTACAACCAGCGAGCCACTCTGACCTGAAATGTAACCGGCACGTGCGGACGTTTTTTCTTTTCTCCTACTTCTTTCACCGACAAAAAAAAAATTGTTGTCCGCCCGAGCCGAAGATGAAGAGAATATCCGGCCCGGTCGGCACGAGAACATCTGGCGTGGACCCAATGGGATCCGACCTGTCGCATGCGGAGCACGATCCAGCCGCTGCGATTGGTCTGGGCTCCTGGTATCCACAAATAGACGGACCGTGGGAAAGGCAAAATCGAGGGCTTCACACCGATCTCCTATAGAGAAATGGTTTCTCTGACGGTATGTGTCACGAGAACATAAAGAACCACCTCACCCTCCCGCGGCACCACCACCATCACCATCACCACCACCACCCCACCCACTCAATGAAGATCATGAATCGGTAGGCAGAGGGCAGCTCTGGTATAAAGGGGATCCGTGCGGTTCACTTTTCAACAGTACACATTGGGTTGGTAGTCGTGTTAAGACACTTGTTGGGAAAACATTTTTATATATACAGTTGAAGTATTTGTTCTGCATACGGTGGCGTTATTGCTAGCTGGACTTTCTTAACATGGCTAATTCTACGTCATCACCGCCTCAGAGATCTAGCTTATCTTTGAGAAAAGTAAGTTGTATTATAACTCAATAATTTATTATTAAATATTACTTTACATTTTAATTATTGCGCTCCTTTATTTTCGTTAACAAGATATGTTAATTTTATTTTAGCTATTGTTACATTTTTTTTAGTCACTATTAAAAATGTGATAACAGAAGTTAGTATTGTTACACTCATTCACTTTATAATAGCTAATTTTTTTTTAAAATCTTTCATTATAAACTAGCTCAACATTTTCTGTTATTAAAGTGCATTATGTTCTTTTCTCATGACTGCTTTACAAAATAGTTATAATAATTATGACTCATTCCTAGTCATTTTTAATACTTATAGAATTATTACTTTGAAAGTAATAGAACAGCTTGACACAAACAAGTTAATTGTAAAGCTTAAATGAAAATACCCTGTTGCATTCCGTAGTCCAACTGTGGGGGGGGGGAGGAGGGGGGTATAGACCTGCTGCCCGCCAACAAGCATGTCGTAGTTAGTAACAGTCGACTAATTAGGGGTTTTCTTTCAAGTCGGAATGCATTCACCTGAGAAGAGAGGAACCAGTAGTCTGCATGTAAATAAGCCCCAGATTCGTAAAACGGATGAGCACTCGAAACTCCTTCTGGAACAAGACCACCAAGGTCCAGAAGTGGACGAAGAAGCAGAGCTTTGCGCCGGAGTTTACAGCTGTTGGACGCGAACAAGGAGAAGAATAACAAACTACTAGCAAGTTAAATTGAAGGTATTTGTAACATTATTACACATGATGTACCTGATACAAAAATTTTCTGCAACAATAGTAGTGTATGGTGTCGACTAGTGTAATAGTTTGTATTGTAGTTGTATATTATATTGTCTGTTATTTGTCTGCAGACAAACAAACCACTGATGGAGAAGCGGAGACGTGCTCGTATCAATGATAGCCTCACGCAGCTGAAATCTTTAGTCATTCAAGGCAGTAAGAAAGATGTAAGTGTGTCTGCTTTAAGTATTGTTTATAAATATGTGTTATTTTCTTGAAGCTTTCTGTGTTTCTTGTCGACTTTTTTTCGTTTGCTCATTTTGGTGTCCATATTGTTCTCACTTCACAGGTCTTGACTTTCGCTTCTGTATTTAGGACGTAATCTTTTTCTATTTTTGTTTGTTTGTTTGTTGTAAATTTCTGTTCACTATATTTTTTTTTCTTGCATCACTCACTCATCATCATCATCGTCTCTCTGTCTCTCTCTCTGTCTCTGTCTCTGTCTCTCTCTCTCTCTCTCTCTCTCTCTCTCTCTCTCTCTCTCTCTCTCTCTCTCTCTCTCTCCCTCCTTTTAAACTTATGTATGAATACATACTTCCATTCTTCACCAAGTTATAACAATCACAGTTAGATGAATATCCATCCCCCCTCAGTAAACTGCTTCCACTGTTTATCCTTAATGAGTTCACCAGTTCCATTCCACATGTGATATACCTCACAAACATACACACATTTCATAACTTACCAAACTGTACCATACGTTCTACATTATTTGCTAAATAATAACCTGTTAATGTCTTGCCCATTTGCAGAGCTCACAGTTTAACAAGCTGGAAAAAGCCGACATTCTTGAACTGACTGTGAAGCATCTCCGCAATCTGCAAGAGCAGCAGCAGCAACAACAGCTGGCTACTTGCAGGGACTCCACTTTAACTGGGAAGTACCAGGCAGGATTTATGGAATGCGCCAATGAAGTCATCCGTTACCTTGGACAAACCCAAAGCTTTAGCGACGATGTGAAATCTCGAGTGGTCCATCACTTAGCTAGCTGTATTCAGCTCTCGAACAAAACATCTTTCGCTAAGCCTTCACAGCCAACAAGTGTCCCTGTGACCACTTCAGTTGTGGCTACTGGAATACCAACAACTGCACAGTTCACTAACGGACAGATAATCCAGGTTATTAACAGCCAGTTTCAGAATGTGAAATCTACAAATATTACACAGACCAAAGTGTCACAACCAGTTCCTATTGCTCCAGCTGTGTCAAGTTTACCAATGACCTCAACATCCATTCCTGTGGTCATCACGTCAGATTTCACCAGCAGTGCAGCATCCACGGCCTCCTCTCGGGTCAAATTCACACAGCCTCTGCACATCCAAATCCCACCAGTTCTTTCTCCAGTCATCATCCAGTCCAAAGCCACACAGCACCAGAAGCCCCTGCAGCCTCAGGCCTTCCACAAAATCCAGGACACGCTTCCGCAGATCAGGTGCACAGCCCCACAAGAGACAGTCGTATCCTCATCTACAATTTCTCCAGAAGCTCATACCCCATCCCCACCTATGGCAGCGAATCATTCCTATGTTTATTACACCCCAGAAGACAACTATGTCGATCTCATGCCAAGGTCGAGGACATACTCCTTGACATCATCTGCATCTTCAGACTCTGACTTAACTTCCCCACTGAATCTCTCACAGTCGCCTCATTATTACGACCAGAAGGACATCCACAGCTACTCCAGCGCACTGAACAATCACTTTTCACAAACCTCCGTTGGCGGTAACACTTCACCTAGCCACAATTTTCCCAGACACATTTTGTACTCCAAGCACTTTCCTTCTGTTATCGTTGATGCGCGAAAGACAATGGACAGCCACTCTTTGAAATATTTACACGCTATGGATGAAGACAGGATGTGTTTTCGTCATGATGGTACTTCATCTCCAGCTTCGTCTGTTGGGGAAGAAAGACTCTGGCGTCCTTGGTAAACAAAAACATTCACAGACTTTGGCGCTCCTGGTAACAAAAAAGATTTACAAACTTTGGCGCTTTTGGTTAAAAAAAAAAAAAAACCAACACATTCAGACTTTGGTAAACAGTGATAAACAATTATCAGACTTTGTGTTCCTGGCAGACATTGTTTGCAAACTTGCGTTCTTGAAATATGACCTTAAATAAATGGCTCTAAACATTTAAAAAGCCATGGGCAATAGTTTACATTGGCGATTGGCGATATGCTAGGTTATATTTTTTTCCCTTGCAATTCCATTACATTTTCTTGCAGTTTATAATCGATATTATTACAAAACGCATTTGTTTTGCAATTTTGTTACAGTTTGTAGAAGAAAAAAACGCTCATTGTTCATTTCTACTGAATTTTTATTTACTTTTCTCATAGTAATTAAAATTCCTGGCAGCATTTGACACTGACTTTAATCAATATTATGCCAAAGTTGCTAACAATACATTCCATGCATGTTACAACAACAACAGTTGCGAGTCAACAGTCGATCACGTTTCAGTTTATCTGGCAAATTATTCAGATCTGAGAAATGGATGTGCACGCAACGCTCAAGTTGCGATACAAGAAGTGGTCGAACAACCAGAGTGTATAGCAGGTGAACGTAAAGTAGATTATTCCATAACAGAAGAAATCAAGTAAAGGACCCTTTTCTATAGCTTTAGGCTATTGGGCATATAGGGCTAGACCTATATTTTATAGACCAATCGGGACTCGATGGGTGATGTGGTCAGCATCACGCCGGTCGCTTTTACTTCCCATGACTTTATCTGGTACCCATTTACGACTGGGTTAGATAAGAAGCCAAGATCGTTTTTGAAAAAGAATTCGGCACCGCCAGGGCCTAAACCCAAAAGCTTCGGATCCGTAGGCGAGCATCTAGCCACTACACCACTGCGGCTCCCCAACATAAGTGAGGGAGGGAGGGAAGGGGGGAACCTTTTGGCTATCGGGCGTCTGTTGCTAGACACATTTTACAGCCCCATAAGCAATTGATGTGGTCAGTATAACAAGGGCCGCCTTTACTTCCCATACATTGTTCCTCGTGCCCGTTTGAGACAGGGTCGACCTCGCCATTCCTTTATACTTGAAACTCATCTTTGATATGGCCGTCACAACAATAATCCCAATGTTTCCCCCATCTTTGTGATTCCATCTGACTTTCCAGACGATACACAACATGGATCATTTCTAAGTGCCTTATATATTCGTTGAATGCTTATATGCGTTTTTTTTTTTTTTTTTTATGAAATCTTACAAGTGATACACTTTATTATTGGTGGTATAAGCAACATGTGATAATGTCTTTAGAATAACTTCATTTCTTTCTTGCCCCCTTTCCTCCCACCTTCCCACCACCATTTCTCCTTTACCCTACGATCGATCAGTATGTGCAGTGCAAGCAATGGGGAACCATGAAGGACCTGCTACTGATATACGAGTTCATAGAGGCAACCCACCTGATGGTCTGATCTGAGCATAAGAAACCGAATCCAAAGAAGAAGATCAGTTTGTGCCCTTTGGACTGCTATCTAAAGGTCCATGATTCCATCGTGAGATTTAGAAATCTGTCAAAAAGGCAGACCTACAAGGCAGATCCCAGATAACCCATTCAATTCCCCCAAAAGGTTATACTTGTATAATTAGGTAACCTGTAATGGCAACACATGGCAGGTTTAACCTGCAATCCTATATGTGGGTAAACACGATTTTTTTTTTTTTACCCTTCCTTTCGTCTTTCCTGTTATTTTGTCCCTTTTTTCCATTCCTCTTGTCTTCTGTTGTCTTCTTTTATTCCATTTTTGGTCTGTAATTAGAGAATAATGGATTCTCCCCGTGCCTTTTGTTGAAAAACATGTAAAGCTACTCATTTACATGTGTGCTTAGTTGAATGGCTTTGTTTTATTTTCTTGTATTCTGTACATTGAAGTGATAACTGTTTGAATCAAAATAGCCATTGTTGGCAAATTAAATACATTGATATGATAAATTGAATTACCTTGTGATTTCATTTATTTATTATCTTAAGTGTGTGTTATGTTAGTACTGCGCGTGTTTGTTTGCTGCGTTTATGTGCCTTTTGTCGTGTTCTTTGTGTTATTTTTGTTTGTGTGTTAAGGATGTTTATTTGTGATGTTTATTGCGGGAAGTTGTTGCTGGGATATTTTGCTGCGGTACTGAGGCATTAAACGGTACCTGCGCATAATAGAAGGAATTACATGTTATGATATAATCAATAATGTAGAGAACACTGGGAGAGAACTAAAGAAATTCCAGTGGCCCAAGAGGTGAGGACAAGACGCCGGCTTCGGATGGGATACACGTTGAGAAAATCTGAGAACAATATAACTAAAATGCCTTTGCACTGGAACCCACAGGGGCATAGAAAAAGGCAGGGGGTAAAACACACGGAGATAGGAGCTAGGGAGTTAAAAAGATGAGGAGGACATGGGCAGAGCTGCGTGCAA